GGCGGCAGCCGAGGGTGGAGCTCGTCCTGCCCCTGTCCTGTCCGGGCGGCATTCAGAAGCCTGGGCGGCAACAGCTGATGCCGTGGGGGTGGGGGGGGCGGTGGCCTTCCCCCACTTTGCTCAGCCCTGGACTCAGCCCTCCTGCTTCCTGCTGCTCCCAGGGTGACTCGGGCGTAGGAGAGGGCATTGGAGGGGCCTGGCTGTCCCCTGACCTCCCCGTGTCCCTCTGTCCCAGGGCATTTGGAGAACCCCCCCAGCCCCCCGCCGGCACCTCTCAGGAAGGTGCCCTGGGAGCGAGGGAGCTGCCCCCTGCCCCCTGGTCGATGGTACTGTCTTTGCCCGAACCCGAGGCTGTCTGTCCTGCCTGCTGCCGGGAGACGTCTGGAAACCCCATGCGGGCGGGAAGAACACGGCGTCCCCTCGCTGTCCCTGCTGCTCACATTCCTGTCCAGGAGGGGGCGCCACGCTCCCGTGCGGGGTGCCCTCGGGGTCTCCTGTGTCCTGCAAGGGGGTCTCGCCCTGGGCGGGTCTTCCTTCCGGGAGCTCCCATAGCTCGTGAACGGGCCCCAAATAAGTGCTCTTGGGGGGGCTCTGCCCTGTGGCGCCCCCTCCCGCCTCCCCTGGCCTGGGCCTCTGGCTGCTCGGCCAGACCCTTCTCTGCCTGGATGTTGCATGAGATCTAGTGACACACTTCCTCCGAGCCCCGTGCCAGGGCTGCCCGGGGCCTGGGCTCCATGGCCCCCTCCTCCGTTTGGTCAAATGCAGGGCCCTGTGCCGGGAGCAGGGCCAGGCTGGGCCTCGTCCTCCACCTGGGGGTCCTCGGAGGTCAGCTTTGTAGCCTGCAGGCTGGGCTCCCGCAGCCCCGGGCGTGGGGAGGAGGCAGGGGTCCCGGGTGGTGAGCAGCGGAGAAGAGAGAAGGCAGCCGGCAGGGGCTGGAGACATCGCGGTCGGGGCGGTGAGCAAGGGGGGAGGGATCCCGCCACCGGGGCGCACCCAGCACTTTGCGCCGACCCTCGGCCGCGAGCCCGGGAGACCAGCCCCTTTCTGTTTACTGCTGTCGGAAGGTTTTGTTTGTTTTCCGTTTGGCTTGTTTGCTTTTTAAGGGAAAAAGAAGTTTGTAATTATTTCGTCCAAAGCTCCTGTTATGTGTCTGTGAATATAAGGAAGAGATTTATAAGAGCGGGAAAGTGTGTGTATCTGAGGCCAGCACGAAGCGCCCGTGCACCCTGGGGCCACTGGGGAGGCGGACTCAGGTCCCGGCTCCTGCGATGGTTGTGTCCGTCTGTTTTGAAACACGGGCTTGGTTTGGTTGGTTTGGGGCAGGAGGGGAGGAGGGCCGGGCGCAGGCGGGGATGAGCCGGTTCCGGTTCCGGTTCCGGCTCCTTAGGCAGAGGCGGGTCGCCCTCTGGAGGGGCTGCGGGCGGGGCCTGGGATTGGCTGTGAACATGGAGCCCGATGCATGTGGGTCAGAAGCCTGGGGTCCCACAGCTGGGGGCGACCCCAAATGGAACACAGACTGTACATTTGCCAGTAGGTTTTTTCAGATCACAGTTTTTACTGCAAATAAACCCAAGTTCTTTCCTGCGGGAGGGGCTTTCCTGCGGGAGGGGCGTGGCCGCACTCCTGGCTGCCCGGGTCTGTCTCCCGGGACATGCCTGGGGCAGGCACAGGCCTTGGGGTGGCCCAGCCTCGGGCAGATTCCAGGGCCACCAACCGGGCACCTCCTCTGGCTGGCACAGCACCCAGCTTCTGGGGAACCCGCCGCTGTCCTCCCTCTGGGTGGACTCGAACCCGGGCCCTGCCCCGCGCATGCCCTTGCCCTCCCAGCCCGCGTCTCCACGTGCCGGAGAGAATGACTGCTCTCCTGGGGGGGGGGGGGGGGGGGGCCTGGGGGAGGGGGGGGCGCTGGGCTAGGACAGAGGAGGCAGCAGGCGGAGACCTTTCTCCCTCTCGGGGAGCAGCCAGAGGCGTGGAGCCCCCCACACCCCGTCTCCCATTGCCACCTGCACTGCCCTCCTCACTCCCGTCCTGGCCCAAGGTGGCTGCTGGAGCTCCTGCCACGGAGGCCACGGGCAGAGCGGATCTGGACACAGTGTGCCCCCCCCCCCCCTCCTCACCCGGAGCCGGGGCCCCGGCCGCTGCTGGCTGCAAGGGCCAGGCATACCCCAGGGGAGCGTGGGCCTGTTACTGAGGAGACGGGAGTGTGGCTGTGGGGCGGGTGGGCGGCCACAGGACCCGGCTCACGGCCGTGAGGATCAGTGAGCCCGGACCTGGTTTACGGCTGGCGCTCGGCAGGTGTCAGACTTGGTTACGAAGGAGGGAGGCGGGTTCGGATAGTTGAGGTGACACAGGCCGCCCCCTCCCTGGGAATTTCTCAGCCTGAGCCACCTCGGGCCTGTTGGTTCCCACACCAGCTCTCGAAAGCCGAGCCCACGGGATCAGAGAGCCGGTGGCCTGAGGGGAAGCTGCTGCGTCCACAGGCAGCCGCTGGGGGGCGGGCATCAGAGCATCTGCTGTGGGTTCAGACCCAAGGATGGTGGGTGCCCGCCTGTCGG